CATTGTCATGTTGGAACTGGCAAGGAACAAGGATGTCAGAACTGGGAAGAGGATGTCGGTAAGAAAATCAGATGGACCTTTCACCTGATGTAACCGCAAGGCAAACACAGATGTGCTTGGCTAATTGCTTGAAAGCATTTAAATATTGTGTCATCTTTGCAATAAAGGATCCAGCTGGCACTCTATCTCTGGGTCCGTGCCTCCACCCTCACAAATGGCGCCTGAACAGGGACAAGACAGAGAGCCGTGGCTCGGCGACCGGTGAGGATGCCCAGCCGAACTCCGAAAGGCTTAACCGGTACCTCTGACTGAGGTAAGCGGCTGGGAACGGGAACTTGGGAAACTCAGTATCCCCCGAGCACAAACCGGTGTACAGAGTACTAGTAAAATTCCTAGCGAAGAAGGGGGTTACTGTAAATGAAGATAAACTGAAAGACTTATTAATATGGGCCTCTGCCCCTGCCCCAGAGGCGACATCAACTAATATTTACCAGAAGAGAGTATGGAACAAGATTGGGGTCTACCTTTGGGACACAGCCACAAGTGATGATGCGGCAGCACCCAAATTTCTGGCTGTATGGTGCTCAGTCTATGAGGCACTTGGCAGGGCAGTACAGGAAGGGTCGGCACAGTCAACCCCTTCTGTCCCAACAAACACCACCCCTTCTGTTCTTGCAAACAACACTCCGGATCCTCCCGACCCGGGGCCGATAGACCCAGAAAGTGAGGCAGATCTATTCCCGCCTGGTCCTGGCATTGGCTGTCGTGAAGCGCAAGCTTTGCCAGTGCTCACACACCCTCCCGCACTTATCGATCTGTGGGAAGATATCCGCCGGCAGACTGCAACAGCAAATGAGCCAGGTAAAGATGACCCTTTTGCTCCTGGATCAATCGACCCTGACAGAGAACTCTGCCTCTCTCCCCCTGACCCGCATGATATGTGGAAAAACATTAAAAAAGCAGCGGAAAATCCAGGTGCTGTGAACCTGCCCCACGACCTGAACGCTCCACATCCCGTCCGTCACGGGGCAAACCGCGGGCTGGACGGCGGGGAGGAAAACGGGGGCTTTTCACCCCCAGCAATGGTCTGTTAACAGGTAATGATTCAGTCAAACATGCTACCCTTCAGAATGGAGCTGCCATAGATTTCTTGCTGTTAGCTCAAGGACGTGGTTGTAAAGACTTCGATAGAATGTGTTACATGAACCCGTCTGATACATGGGGGGGTATGGGGGGGGCATGGGGGGGTCTATAGGATACATGGGGGGTATGGGGGGAACACCCCATGGGGTTCTATAGGATACATGGGGGGGGCATGGGGCGTTCGTTATGGGGGTTCAGATGGGGGGGCTCGGACCCTCCCGCCCACACCCCCCCCCCCCCCCCACCCCAAGGCCCCCCCCCCGAGGCTGCTGCGGTCTCTGAGTCCTGCTGCCCCCCCCCGGCACCTCCATAACCGAGTCCGGGAGCACCAGAAACTGTTCCAGGTGGGGGGCTCCCATGAAGGGGGTCACACTTTGGGGGGGGGTCAATGGGGGGGCTCCCATGAAGGGGGTCAGACTTTGGGGGGGTCAATTGGGGGGTCCCATTAAGGGGGTCACACATTGGGGGGGTGCCATTAAGGGGGTCACACTTTGGGGGGGTCAATTGGGGGGTGCCATTAAGGGGGTCACAATGGGGGGGTCAATTGGGGGGGCCCATTAAGGGGGTCACACTTTGGGGTTGTCAATTGGGGGGGTTCCATTAAGGGGGTCCCACTTTGGGGGGGTCACTTTAAGGGGTTGCTATGGGGGGGGTCACTTGGGGAATCCCATTATAGGGTTGTCTTTGGGGGGGTCCCTATGGGGGGGTCCTTTAGGGGGGTGCCAGTGCCCTGATGTCCCCTTTCCCCCCCCCCAGGAGGACAATGGGCTCCCCGTGTATCTCAAGGGGGGGGCCATGGACTCGGCCCTTTTCCGCCTGACCTCCCTCATCTGTACCGGGGGTACGGGGGAGATAAGGACCATGGGGGAGTATAAGGACCATGGGGGGGTATAAGGACAATGGGGGTGTTAAAAGGACCATGGGGTGGTATATGGACCATAGGGGGTATAAGGACCATGGGGGGGGTATATGGACCATGGGGTGTTGTATGGACCATAGGGGGGGTATAAGGACAATGGGGGGCTATGAGGACCGGAGGGGGTATAAGGTCCATTGGGAGGGGGGCACAGACACCTGCGGGTCCATAATGGGTCCTTTATGGGGGGGCCCTGGGGTCTATGGGGGTGTCCCTGACCCCTCCCCCCTCTGTCACCCCCCACAGGTACCTGTTACTCGCTGTGGTGCCTGGGTCAGGCCTCAAGAGCCAAGAAGCCCTGACCCCCCCATGGCCCCTCCCCCCTCCCCCAAGCAATAAATGGCTCCAGTGAAGCTGTGGGGCAGGTTTGGGACATGGGGGAGGCGGGGGGGGGGAAGGGGGGGGCCCATAGGCACCAATGGGGTTTTATTGCTCAATGGGAACGGGCGCTTCCCCCCCTGGGGATCCCCAAGTTTGTGTGGTCCCTGTGCCCCCCCCCCCGCAGGGCAAGACCAGCCTCCCCCGGGGCAATAAATAGCGTTGGGGGTAAAAGTGGCAGGGATGGGATGGGGATGGGGATAGGGATGGGATGGGGATGGAGATGGGATGGGGATGGGCATGGGGTGGGGATGGGATGGGGATGGGGTGGGATGGAGATGGGGATGGGATGGGGACCAGGACAAGGAGGTGACAGGAGAGGACAGGGATGGGATGGGGATGAGGACAGGGATGGGGACCTCAGGGATTGGGACCACTGGTATGGGCACAGGGATGGGATGGAGATGGGGGCAGGGGTGGGGATGGGATGGGGGTGGGGACCCCCTGGCTGGGGGGCGGGGCGATTCCCAGGGTGTCAGCAGCGCCCCCCCCGGGCCGCCAGCAGCAGCTGCAGGGGGGGTGGGGGGGGGTCCCCGACGCCGTCCCCCTCCCGCTCCCGGTCCGGCCGCACCGCGCGGCCCTGCTGGAGGCTGAAGAGGCGAGCGCGAGTGCTGCGGGGACGGAACAGCCCCAGGGAGCCTGTGGAACCCTATGGGCACCTATGGAACCCTATGGAACCCTATGGGCACCTATGGAACCCTATGGACACCTATGGAACCCTATGGGCACCTATGGGCACCTACGGAACCCTATGGGCACCTATGGAACCCTATGAACACCTATGGACCCCTATAGACCCCTATGAACCCCTATAGACCTGCATGGACCCCTGTAGACCCCTATGGACCCATATGGAACCCTACAGACATCTGTGGACACCTATGGACCCCTATGGGCCCCTATGGACACCTATGGAACCCTATGGACACCTAGGGACACCTATGGACCCCTATGGACCCCTATAGACCCCTATGAATCCCTATAGACCTGCATGAACTTGTATGGAGCCCTATAGACCCCTATGGACCCATATGGACCCCTATGGACCCATATACACCCCTATAGACCCGTGTGGACCAGTATATGGGACCTGTAGAGACCCTTATGGACCCATACAGACCCGTATAAACCTGTATGGACTTGTGTGGACCTTTATAGACCAATATTGACCCTTATGGACCTGTATACACCCCTGTAGATGCTTATGGACCAGTATAGACCACTATAGACCTGCATGGACCACTATGGACTCATATAGACCCATCTAGCCCAGTATAGACCCCTATAGCCCATACATATGGACTCATATAGACCCCTATAGCCCACCATGGACCCCTATAGCCCATACGTATGGACTCATATAGACCCCTATAGCCCACCATGGACCCCTATAGCCCATATGTATGGACTCGTATAGACCCCTATAGCCTACCATGGACCCCTATAGTCCATATGTATGGACTCGTATAGGCCCCTATAGCCCACCATGGACCCCTATAGTCCATACGTATGGACTCATATAGACCCCTATAGCCCACCATGGACCCCTATAGCCCACCATGGACCCCTATAGCCCAACGTGGACTCCTACAGCCCACCATGGACCCGTATGGACTCGTATAGACACCTATAGCCCACCATGGACCCCTATAGCCCATATGTATGGACTCATATAGACCCCTATAGCCCATACGTATGGACTAGTATAGACCCCTATAGCCCCATACGTATGGACCCCTATAGCCCACCATGGACCCGTATAGACTCGTATAGACCCATATAGACCAGCATAGACCCCTATAGCCCACCATGTACCCCTATAGCCCATACGTATGGACCCCTATAGCCCACCATGGACCCGTATAGACTCGTATAGACCCATATAGACCAGCATAGACCCCTATAGCCCACCATGGACCCCTATAGCCCATATGTATGGACCCCTATAGCCCACCATGGACCCCTATAGCCCATACGTATGGACCCCTATAGCCCACCATGGACCCCTATAGCCCCCCCCCAGCCCATACAAACCAGTACGGGCGGCGCTCATCGGGGCTCAGGCTCTGCCAGAGCTGCGCCAGCTCCCGCGTGGCCGCGGTGGACGCCAGGCCTGGGTGAGCGCTGGCCCCGGGGCAGCACCAGGGTCAGGTCCCACATCCCAGAACCTGGGCCCCATGCCCCATATCCCATACAGACCATAGCCCATAGAGCCCATATAGACCATATAGACCATAGCCCATAGAGACCATATAGACCATAGACCATAGAGCCCGTAGCCCATAGAGCCCATACAGACCATAGCCCTTAGAGCCTATATAGACCATATAGACCATAGCCCATAGAGCCCATATAGACCATAGCCCATATAGCCCATAGCCCACAGAGCCCATAGCCCATATAGCCCATACAGATCATAGCCCTTAGAGCCCATATAGACCATATAGACCATATAGACCATAGCCCATAGAGCCCATAGCCCATAGAGCCCATACAGACCATAGCCCTTAGAGCCCATAGCCCATATAGCCCATATAGCCCATAGCCCATATAGCCCATATAGACCATAGCCCTTAGAGCCCATAGCCCATACAGCCCATAGCCCATATAGACCATAGCCCATATAGCCCATATAGCCCATAGCCCATACAGCCCATACAGCCCATAGCCCATATAGACCATACCCATTATCCCATATAGACCATAGCCCTTAGATCCCATAGCCCATATAGCCCATATAGACCATAGCCCTTAGAGCCCATAGCCCATACAGCCCATAGCCCATATAGCCCATAGCCCATATAGCCCATAGCCCATATAGCCCATACAGCCCATACCCATTATCCCATTTAGACCATAGCCCTTAGGTCCCATAGCCCATATAGCCCATACCCAATATCCCATATAGCCCATAGCCCTTAGAGCCCATAGCCCATACAGCTCATAGCCCTTAGAGCCTATAGCCCATACAGCCCATAGCCCATATAGACCATAGCCCTTAGAGCCCATAGCCCATACAGCCCATAGCCCATATAGACCATAGCCCTTAGAGCCCATAGCCCATACAGACCATAGCCCATATAGCCCATAGCCCATATAGACCATAGCCCTTAGAGCCCATACAGCCCATACAGACCATAGCCCATATAGACCATACCCATTATCCCATATAGACCATAGCCCTTAGATCCCATAGCCCATATAGCCCATAGCCAATATCCCATATAGCCCTTAGCCCTTATACCCCATACAGCTCATATCCCATATAGACCATAGCCCATATAGACCATACCACCCCATATACCCCATATCCCATATATCCCATATCCCATATAGACCATAGGCCATATACCCCATATAGACCATAGCCCGTATACCCCGTACACTATATCCCATATATCCCATACCCCATATCCCATACCCCATAGCCCATATATCCCATACCCATACAATATCCCATAACCTGTACACCCCATACCCCATATATCCCATACCCCAAGTCCCACACCCCATACCCCATACACCCCATACCCCAAACCCCATATACCCCATACCATATACCCCATACACCCCATATCCCTTATACACCATACCCCATACCCCATATCCCATATCCCATATCCCATACCCCATACCCCACATCCCATAATACCCACCGGAGGTAGGCCCTCCTGTTGAGGTGACAGAACATGATGAACCCGTTCACGCACTTCTTCTTTGGGGGGGGGGCGGCACCGCCTTGGCCTGGGCCCCGTGGGGGGTGCTCGGGGCTGCCATGGGCCTGTGCCTCCTATGGGGACAGTGGGGTATGGGGGGGGACAATGGGGGATGGGGATGTGGGGTGTGGGTATGGGATATGGGGTATGGAATATGGGGTATGGGATATGGGGTATGGGGTATGGAACATGGGGTATGGGATATGGGGTATGGAATATGGGGTATGGGATATGGGGTATGGGGTATGGAACATGGGGTATGGGGTAGGCAATATGGGATATGGGGTATGGGGCATGGGATATGGGGTATGGGGTATGTGATATGGGGTATGGGGTATGGGGTATGGTATGTGGAGTATGGGATATGGGGTATGGGATATGGGGTATGGGATATGGGGTATGGGGAATGGGATATGGGGTATAGGATATGGGGTATAGGAATATGGGGTATGGGATATGGGATATAAGGGGTATGGGATATAAGGGGTATGGGATATAAGGGGTATGGGATATATGGGCTATTTGGGGTATGGGATATATGGGCTATATGGGGTATGGGGTATATGGGGTATATGGGGTATAGGCTATATGGGCTATATGGGGTATATGGGGTATATGGGGTATAGGCTATATGGGCTATATGGGGTATATTTGGTATATGGGGTATATGGGGTATATGGGGTATGGGTCCGGGGGGCTCACTCTCACCTGGGCTCCGATGAAGGCCTCTGGGAACAGCTCTGGGGGGGCTGCAATTGAGCAGGGCCGTGGGCCCCTCCCCTCCCCATTGCCCTCTGTGTGCCCCTCCCCCCCCCAAACCCACCTCGGATCACATCCCCGGGGGGAGCGGGCGGGGGCGGCGATGCCAACAGCGCCCCCTGGCGGGGGGGAGGACACAGCGACACCCCCTCCTCCCTGCCCAGCTCCTCCCAATAGGGCTGGGGGGCGCACAGCGGGGGGCTGGGACCCCCCCGGGTCCCCTCCTCTTCCTCCTCCTCCTCGTAGGGCACCAGCTTCTGATGGGGGGGGCTGGTGGGGGAGGGGCAGCACTTTAGGGGTGCCCCCCCCTTTCATTGTGCCCCCCCCTCCATTATCTCCTACCTTGGGGTGACACCAGCGCTTGGTCCCACGTGCACAGGGTCACCAATGGGGAGGCCTGGGGGGGGGCACAGAGGGCGCCCCAATTAAGGGGGGGTCCCCATTTGATGGGAGGGACCCCAGTTGATGGGGTGCCCCCAGTTGAATAGAAGGGGTCAATTGAATAGGGGGTTCCCCAGTTGAATGGGGGGGGGACTCAATTGAGGGGGGATCCCTAATTGAATAGGGAGTCCCCAGCTAATGGGGTGTCCCCATTTGAGAGGGGGGCACCCATTGAGGGGGGTGCCCAATTGATGGGGTGTCCCCAATTGAGAAAGGGGGTCCCCAATTCAATAGGGGGGGCTCAATTGAGGGGGGGTCCTCAATTGAATAGAGGGTCCCCAATTGAGAAGGGGGGTCCCAAATTAAATAGGGGGGCTCAATTGAGGGAGGGTCCTCAATTGAATGGGGGGTGTCAATTGAGGGGGTTCTCCAATTGCGAAGCGGGGTCTCCATTGAATGGGGGGACTCAATTGATGGGGTGTCCCCAATTGAGGGGGGTCCCCAATTGATGGGGGGTCCCCATTACCTGCCCCCCCTCGCGCGCTGCTCACGCTGCTCCGCAGGTACCGGATGTACCCCAGCACATTCTCCAGCACCTGCTCCTGGGGGGGGTGTCCAGGGGATGTTATTGGGGGGCTGCTCCCCCCAATATGTGCCCCCCCATCCTCTCCCCGTACCTCGCTTTGGGGTACCCTCCTGCCGCGGGGCCATGGAACCATCCGGACCAGCTCCGGGAGCAGCGAGCGCCAGTTCCGGGGGGGGGCTCTGGGGAGGGGGGGACCAAAGGGGGGGATAATTGAGGGGGGGGGGAGGGCGATACCAAATAGGGACAATGGGGGGGGGGACAAGGGGGGGGCGATACCAAAAGGGGGAATTGGGGGGGGAACACTGTTGGAGGGGGAGACATGGGACGATACCAATAGGGGACATGGGGGGGTACATACACACACATAGGGCGATACCGATAGGGGACATGGGGGGATACGTACACACACACAGGACGATACCAAGAGGACACAATGTGGGGGGGACACAGACACCAAAGGGGGACACTGATGCCCCCCCCCAGCCCCTCACCGGCTCCTCCCCGGCAACCTCGAGCCCGGGGGCCACATCTGCGGGGCGGGGGGCGACCAGAACTGGGGGGAGAGAGGGGCTTAAATGGCTCCGGGGGAGAGGGGGGGCTCTCCAACCCTATTGGGGAGGGGGGTCTCAGGCCCTACTTGGGGGTCCCACGACCTTTGGGGGTGTCCCAGGCCCTATTAGGGGGGTTCTGGGTGCTATGGGGGGGTCTCAGGCTCCATGGAGTGCCCAGGGTCCTAGTGGGGTGTCTCAGGCTCTACTGGGGGGGTCTCAGGCTCTATTGGGGGTGCTCCGGGCCCTATGGGGGGGTCTCAGGCTATATTGGAAGGGTCTCAGGCTCTACTGGGGGTGCCCCGGGCCCTATAGGGGGGTCTTAGGCTCCATTGGGGGTGCCCCAGGCCCTATGGGGGGGTCTCAGGCCCTGTGGGGGTGTCTCAGGTCCTATGGGGGGGGTCTCAGGCTCTACTGGGGGGGTCTCAGGCTCTATTGGGGGTGCCCCGGGCCCTATGGGGGGGTCTCAGGCCCCATTGGGGGTCCCCGGTCCCTAGGGGGGTGTCTCAGGTCCTATGGGGGGTTCTCAGGCCCTATGGGGGGCCCTTAGGCCCCATTGGGGGTCCCCGGGCCCTATGGGGGGTCTCAGGCCCTATGGGGGGCTCTCAGGCCCCATTGGGGGTCCCCGGGCCCCCCGGAGGCCCCGTTCCCAGTTGGCTCCGTTCCGAGGCCGTTCCCAGCTCCGGGATTTCCCCCCCACCTCGAGAGGCCGACGCTGGCGCCAAACTGAGCAGGGAGGCGTGGCCAGAGCAGCTTAGGGCGGGGAGAGAACCGCCTCTGATTGGATGACTCCTCAGAAGGGGCGGTGCCAATCGCCCAGCGCGGGAAACACACCCCCTTCCCCCCCTTCACTCCCGCCAGTACCAACGCGGGGGGTTCATCCCATCCCAATGGGGATCCCAATGAATCCAGGGGGGTTCATCCCATCCCAATGGGGATCCCATGGGATCCAGGGGGGGTTCATCCCATCCCAATGGGGATCCCATGGGATCCAGGGGGGGTTCATCCCATCCCAATGGGGATCCCATGGGATTCAGGGGGTTCATCCCATCCCAATGGGGATCCCAATGAATCCAGGGGGGTTCATCCCATCCCAATGGTGATCCCATGGGATCCAGGGGGGGTTCATCCCATCCCAATGGGGATCCCAATGAATCCAGGGGGGTTCATCCCATCCCAATGGGGATCCCATGGGATCCAGGGGGTTCATCCCATCCCAATGGGGATCCCAATGAATCCAGGGGGGTTCATCCCATCCCAATGGGGATCCCAATGAATCCAGTGGGGGTTCATCCCATCCCAATGGGTTTCCAATGAATCCAGGGGGGGTTCATCCCATCCCAATGGGGATCCCAATGAATCCAGGGGGGGTTCATCCCATCCCAATGGGGATCCCAATGAATCCAGGGGGTTCATCCCATCCCAATGGGGATCCCAATGAATCCAGGGGGTTCATCCCATCCCAATGGGGATCCCAATGAATCCAGGGGGTTCATCCCATCCCAATGGGGATCCCATGGGATCCAGGGGGTTCATCCCATCCCAATGAGGATCCCAATGAATCTAGGGGGTTCATCCCATCCCAATGGGGATCCCAATGAATCCAGGGGGTTCATCCCATCCCAATGGGGATCCCAATGAATCCAGGGGGTTCATCCCATCCCAATGGGGAACCATGGGATCCAGGGGGTTCATCCCATCCCAATGGGGATCCCAATGAATCCAGGGGGTTCATCCCATCCCAATGGGGATCCCAATGAATCCAGGGGGTTCATCCCATCCCAATGGGGAACCATGGGATCCAGGGGGGTCATCCCATCCCAATGGGGATCCCAATGAATCCAGGGGGGTTCATCCCATCCCAATGGGGATCCCAATGAATCCAGGGGGTTCATCCCATCCCAATGGGGATCCCAATGAATCCAGGGGGTTCATCCCATCCCAATGGGGATCCCAATGAATCCAGGGGGTTCATCCCATCCCAATGGGGATCCCAATGAATCCAGGGGGTTCATCCCATCCCAATGGGGATCCCAATGAAGATCCCATGGGATCCAGGGGGCTTCATCCCATCCCAATGGGGATCCCAATGAATCCAGGGGGTTCATCCCATCCCAATGGGGATCCCATGGGATCCAGGGGGTTATGATCCAGGGGGTCATCCCATCCCAATGGGGATCCCAATGAATCCAGGGGGCTCATCCCATCCCAATGGGGATCCCATGGGATCCAGGGGGTTCATCCCATCCCAATGGGGATCCCAATGAATCTAGGGTGTTCATCCCATCCCAATGGGGATCCCATGGGATCCAGGGGGTTCATCCCATCCCAATGGGGATCCCATGGGATCCAGGGGGTTCATCCCATCCCAATGGGGATGCCAATGAATCCAGGGGGCTCGTCCCATGCCAATGAGGATCCCAATGAATCCAGGGGGGACATCCCATCCCAATGGGGATCCCATGGGATCCAGGGGGTTCATCCCATCCCAATGGCGATCCCAATGAATCCAGGGGGGTTCATCCCATCCCAATGGGGATCCCATGGGATCCAGCGGGTTTATCCCATCCCAATGGGGATCCCAATGAATCCAGGTTCATCCCATCCCAATGAATCCAGTGAATCCCAGTGCGTTCTTTGCAATCTGATAGAGGGCGGAGCTCCATCCATTCCCGAGGGCTCGCAGGCAGTCCGAGGGGGTTCATCCACGGCAGATGGGACCATCCCGTCCCATCCCATCCCATCCCATCCCATCCCATCCCATCCCATCCCGGATGCAGGCTGATCCCTACTTCCCGGCTACGAGGGGGTTGCGCAGGACCACGATGACGGAGTCCCCGCGCAGGAGCATGTTGGAGGTGTAGCGGTCCTTGTTCACCGGCTTCGACTTCTTCTTCCCCTTGCCGCTCTTGGGCACCTCGGTCCACATCTCCTTCACGTTCTCCAGCACAATATTGCAGTGCCTGGGGGGAGAGAATAGGGATTGGGGTCCCACCCCCAATCCATCCATCCATGGCTCCAAGGGGAACACGAGGAGAGATGGGGACCAGGGGCACCGGAGCAAGCAGGACCCAAGGCCATGGGGGGGGGGGGTGACACCCCAAAGGGGAACACATTGGGTACCAATGAGGTTGGACATCAATGGGGACCCCAATGGGACAACAGGGACCCCAAAGGGGAACATGGGAGGATGAGGGGGGTGCTGGCTCCCAAGAGGATGGGTTATGGGGACCCCAATGGGACAATGGGAGGATGAGGGGGGTGCTGGCTCCCAACAGGATGGGTTATGGGGACCCCAATGGGACAATGGGAGGATGAGGGGGGTGCTGGCTCCCAGAGGGGGGTGCTGGCTCCCAACAGGATGGGTTATGGGGACCCCAGCGGGACAATGGGAGGATGAGGGGGGTGCTAGCTCCCAACAGGATGGGTTATGGGGACCCCAATGGGACAATGGGGACCTGTTGAAGGCCTTGACGCGCCCCAGCAGCTTCTTGTTGTTGCGGCAGTTGATGAGGACCTGGGTGTTGTTCTTGACCGACTGCGTGAGCACCGAGAGCGGGCCCGTGTTGAACTCCTCCTCCTCCCGCTTCTGCAGCTCCTCCGGGGTCATCTCGCTCTTGGGCTTGTTCAGGAGGCTCCTGAATGGGGGGAATGGGGGTGATGGGGGGGGAATGGGGGCGATGGGGGAATGGGGTGATGGGGAATAGGGGGAATAGGGGTGATAGGGGTATGGGGGGGGAATGGGGGTGATGGGGGAATGAGGGTGATGGGGGAATGGGGGTGATGGGGGAATGGGGGTGATGGGGAGGAATGGGGGAAATGGGGGTGATGGAGGAATGGGGGTGATGGGGGGAGGGTATGGGGAAGCTGGGGTGATGGGGGAATGGGGGTGATGGGGGAATGGGGGTGATGGGGAGGAATGGGGGAAATGGGGGTGATGGAGGAATGGGGGTGATGGGGGGAATGGGGGTGATGGGGGAATGGGGTGATGGGGAATGGGGGTGATGGGGAATGGGGGTGATGGGGAATGGGGCTGATGGGGGAATGGGGGTGATGGGGGAATGGGGGTGATGGAGGGAATGGGGGTGATGGGGATTGGCTGGGCCGGAGAGGGGCGTGGCTTATCCCTAATGGGGCGTGGCCACTGTGGGCTCTAGGTGCCCCTACGGGACACCCGATGTCCCCTTTGGACACCCACGTGTCCCTATGGGGCACCCCAAGGTCCCCTTTGGACACCCACGTGTCCCTATGGGGCACCCCAAGGTCCCCTTTGGACACCCACGTGTCCCTATGGGGCAACCCAAGGTCCCATTTGGGCACCCACGTGTCCCTATGGGGCACCCCAATGTCCCCTTTGGGCACCCAAGTGTCCCTATGGGGCACCCCAAGGCCTCTTTTGTCCTTTTGCCCTCCCCAGGGGGCTGCAAGGAGACAACGATGCCCCATGGCCATGATGAGGATGTGCCCTCCTAGATGGACAGAGAGGGGGCAATAGGGGCAATATGGACAGAGAGGGGGCAATAGGGACACTGAGGGGGCAGTGGGGACAGAGAGGTGGCAATGGGGACAGGGAGGGAGCAATGGGGCACTGGGGGGTCAGTGGGGACAGAGTGGGCAATTGGGACAATAGGGACAGTAAGGGGGCAATGGGGACAGTGAGGGAGCAATGGTGGCAATGGGGACAGAGGGGGCAATTGGGGCAATGGGGACGGGGGGGGCAATGGGGGCAGAGAGGGGGCAATTGGGGCAATGGGGACAGGGAGGGGGCAATGGGGACAGGGAGGGGGCAATGGGGACAGAGAGGGGGCAATTGGGGCAATGGGGACAGGGAGGGGGCAATGGGGACAGAGGGGGCAATGGGGACAGGGAGGGGACAATGGGGACAGAGGGGGCAATGGGGACAGGGAGGGTGCAATGGGTACAGAGAGGGGGCAATGGGGGCAATGGGAGCTGCAGGCACCCAATGTGCTTCTCAGGCCGCTATGC